CCCGACGGGGGCAGGGGGTGGGCCGAAGCGACCGCCGTGGAGCCTGATTGGCGAAGCCCTGGCTCGCCGGCCCGAGCCTACGCTGGCAGGTAGACTGCCCCTGCCCCGGAGGCCCCTAAGGATATCCCCGCGCGCGTCGCCGCCGAGCCCTCGGCAGGGCGCCTGGAACCGGGTGGGACCCCTCGACGCCGCAAGTTTCTCGCAACTGACTAACCTGAAAGAGTTTGCTGAGACCGCCTCTGTACAAATCTGCGCTGACTTCTAGTGTCGCTACGCTCTTTTCAAAATGCGAAACGACAGTTGTTTTGCAATCTGCTCTAAAATCTCCCGGATATCTGTTTAAATGACTGTAATCCCTCAGCCGTTCTTCCCCTTCCGAAAAAAGGGCCAAGATTTGCCTCCCTCCAAGAGGCCCTGAAGATAATACCGTATATAAATGTTAGCCCTACCGATCAAGTAACCAGTATTACAAATAGCAGTTCAAAGTGGAAACATCCTGGAAAATTACATGATGAACTAAGAATTGCACCAAAAACGGTAACTTTCCAAATTTGGTATTACTTGAAAATCTTTGTTTAAAAAAAGAAGCTAATTTAAATTTTGACAACAGGTATCAGCAATCCATTGTTGCAGACCAGATAACGCCTTCCAAATCCTTCTAGCCAGAACCGGTCCCAGAAGTCCATAACTGGTGATGTCATGATAAATTCAAAACATTGGAAATACAGCTAAGGAGGACATAGGTATCTTTATCACACAAGTGATCGACACAAGATGGTAACAATTTTCTTGACTTTAGTCCTAAATATGGCAAGAATAGGTCAAATCCAATAATAGGACAAGTCCAGACTTCACGCAGCTCCTAAACTGCATCTCCAGCAACAGGGTAATTGCACTGTCATTATTAAACGTTCTCGGAGATATCCCATACACTCAGTTTACTAATTTTAAGATCAAGGAAGCTAACGTCTCATCCTTTGAAACAACCTTTTACTATTTACCTGTGTTATCCCATATGGTGCTTGTCAGTTTCATGAACTCCTAATAAAAATGGTGACTGGTTTGAAGCGGCAGCTGATTCTTCCCAAACTGCCAACAATGTAGGTTTTAGCACCAGCTGCGGCATCTGGATCAAACTGCTGAATTCACAAGTGCTCAGGCTGGATACTCTCCCCAAAAGCACTCTGGGATCAATCAGATGTTGTCATTCTACGAACATGTTAAGAGACATTTCCTCAGCACCCTGTTGACCAAAGTAATACAGTCACGAGAGGCCCAGTTTAGCTAGAAATCAACCTTTTAAACTGGAATTATTTCATAAATGGTCAAAATTGCACCTGTAATCCAGTACTTTCCGTATCCTGCAGCAGTGGTGGCATTCTGTCTGATCCCCGCAATGCATCTGGGGTCAGCAGGCATTCCTTGGCTGTATTTCCAGAAGCTGAAGGCAGATCCTCTTCATTGCCAAAGGAATCGTACCTCCTTTTCCGCAGACAGCAAGCAGCTGGTAAGCTATATCTTCCCTTTTATACTGGAAGCATGTAAAGAAGCCCTTTATGCGGTTCTCATCTACCAATCTCAGCTTCTTCTTAACTTGTTTTGACAAGAATTCCACCATGCCTGAGGAAAGCTTCACAAGCATGAATACTCGTCCCTGGGAGGCAGCTGCATCTCTCCTCCGCTGTTCCACTGAAAAGCAGCAGCCAAGCATCGTCCCAACTGAGATCCCAGCAGAACTAGGGGGGAGGAAGCCAGGGACCTCGCTAAGGCTGGAACTACTGTGATCCAGCAATATCTGTAGGCCTTGCCCCAGTCCCAGTTTGACTCACAACACCCATATCTAAAGCATTATGGATTAAAACCCGCATTCCCAAACCTATTGTCCTGCAATCATATTGGACTTCCAACCTCCTAATTCCAGCCAGCAAGGTCACTGGCTGAGATTATCAGACCTGAAATCCAACTAATCTGGATTGAATTACACTATTGTTCTCAGGGTCCTAATTGTCATCATTCAAATTGTGAAGGAAAACATAAGAAAGCCTGTCAGGCAATACGTTTTGAGGAAAACGGATTGTTTGGCCCAGATGACTTTGTTTTGACAAACACTCTTCTGAAACGGATTATAGCCTCTCCTGCCAGCAAGGGAGAGCTCTGGAGACTGGGGGCGGGAAAATTACAGATAAAATCAAAGGGACTCTGATAGCAAAATATCAAAGGAAGATCCTTTTCTCATGGTACAAAGGGCCCGATGTGTTTTGCAATTCCACCCTCTATCTTTCATGTCCCCCAACCCCAGTGTTTTCTTGTGATCTCAACATTTCTAGAAAATTTACATCTTTAGCTGAAAGTCAACGTATTGCCTGCTGAACCTAATCTGCTGGTTTCACAGCCACACTTTTGCCGGGCAGCTGTGCTCTGTGTCCAGAAGAGCCCGGGCTAATTCCAACGAGTTGCACAGACTGAGTGTCAGATAAGGGAAACCAGACCAGATATAAGTAGAAGCTGAAGCCAATAAAGAGGCATCGCCTGGCTAACTCCATCGAGCTGATATAAATGACAAAGATCCCATAAACGCTGCAGTGTAAAATACACTTAATAGTTACAAAAAGAAAAGCTCTCTCTCGCGCTCTCTCTCTCTCTCTCTCTCTCTCTCCCCAGCAAAAGTAAAACATGATTTAGGACCATGCTGGAGGCTTTTGTTCAGTGTTAGGGTTAGGGTTAGTCACTCTGCAGTGAGATGGGCGGTGACAAATTTGAAATATAAATAAAATAAATTATTCCACAAGTAGTCATGTTATTGGCACAATGACCTTCTACAAAAACACAGTGGTATGATTCAGTCCTTCCACATAACAAAGAAGTGGAACAGTGTTTGGGTGAGTGTTTACAGGCTTGGAAGTGAGTGGGATGCATTCAGCTGGGAGAGCTCTGCTTTACGAGGGGTTGCAGATCACGAAAACCATGCCTCCATTCAAGTGCCTGTGAGTACAGCTCTGCCCCAGACTCTCAGATGATTTCCCTCAGGTGGCAGCCACGCCTGTAGCCAGTAACCTCCTCTGTGAGTGACTAGGAGGGTGCAATTTCTCCTCCTCCACTTTCAAACTCTGCAGGGGGAAGGGGAGAGATCTATTCACACTGCACTACGTTTCCCTCTCAAAATATGGACCCTGTGTAAAGTTTACACCAGTGTTGTCCAGCCATTCCCCACCCTAACCCATGCTGGCTGGGGAATTCTGGGAGTTGAAGTTCACTCATCTTAAAGTGGCCAAGTTTGGACAACACTGGTTTACACCCTAGAAGGTGCCCTCCAATAATATCAGTCCATACTATGTTCCATCAATGTGGTCGCCAGGAGTCGAAAACGACTCGATGGCACATCACTCATCCGTCCATCCTACATTCTGCCCAGTTCAGAACCGCAGAGGCAAGTGCAGGTCAGGAAGCACAAGCTACCACTGCTCAGAAGGGCTTCTATATTTGACATCTGTTTGACTCTCTTAAAATCATGAAGAATACTATTGAAATTAAAATGAGCATAACGTCTAAGAGGAATACTTGCAAATAATGGAGTTAACGACATTTAATAGAAGAACTGAAGAATAGGGCGGTGTGGGCTTCAAGTGTGATTTGGAAAATAGGCTTTACACCGATGTCAGGGCAAGTGCAGCATCACTCTGCTACTCATGAAAGGAGCCTGACTTTTCTTCTAGCTTTCCCACAAGCATGCAAAAAAGATGCCACTCTATTAAGGAAGTACAACTCTTAAAGCTGTGGCACTTTTCAAGTTCTTGTGCTGTGCTCAGGCTAAGTCCTGAGCAGGTGGTCCTTGGTTAACAATGTTCATTGGTTAACAAAGTTAATTGGAATTTTGTCATTAAGCAATGCAGTCATAAAGTGTGACATCATGTGACCGCGCTGGCTTATGACAGCAGTTCCAACAGTTCCGGTTGCAGTCGTTAGGTGAAACCCACAGAGTCATTGGGCGCAACATCATGTGATTACCATTTGCGACCTCCTGCCGGCTTCCCCATTGACTTTACTTGTTGAAAGCCAGCCGTGAAAGTCGTAAATGGAGATCACATGACCGTGGGACGCTGCGACCATTGTAATTGCGTGCTGGTTGCCAAGTGCCCAAATGGCGATCATGTGACCTCAGTGACACTACGACAGCCACAAGTCTCCTCATTCAGCATCTTCATAACTTCTACCAGTCACTAAACAGTTGTTACCAAGGGCTACCTGTATATCATCCAAATAATTTTTTAAGCATGTGCAGCCCTACTAGAAAGAGAATGATAGGATGCAGGGCTTTACAATTAAATTGGAAGAAAAAAAATGTTATTTAAATTTTATTTCCCACATTCAGAATGCTATAATGGCAAAATATTCTTCATTAAAACTATACCTTATTTGGTATTTCAGGAGACAAAATGAAATTTAGAGCAATAAATAGAGCAATGGATACCACCTTCTTAACAACCGAAGGAAAAGCCCATCATAGCTAATAATGTACATTGCCAGAATTATCTTTAGATAATCTTAGAAAACTAGACGGTCCAAGAGCTGGTGTAAAAGCAATCTTATAAGACAGGCTCTTCAGATTACAAGTAATTTTAGCACTTGTGAGCCTAAACTCCTTTTGGGATCCCCAGTTATCAGAAACTTCAAACAGCAGCAGCGGCAGTTTGCATTATATTTCATGCATAAATTTCCATCTGAGCCATGACAGAGTTTTGAATTAAAAATAAGAGCAGGATAATGTTGCAAACATTTCTCCCTATTCTTTTTCATTCTTGCCTTTAGTGCCACGGATAAGGAGATTTCCACTATAACTTCACACTGGTCTTCTTGAAAAAGAATTACCCAATGCAATTAAGTGAGCTAAATTTTCAATCTGAAATAAATATTGCTGCTGAAACCAGGCACTGGAGATTGGAAGGGGGAGAGACAGAAATACAACGCGCGGCTTTTATCACTTTCCAGCGGGCATCTTCTCACAGCTTCTGAAAGGCGCAGCTCCCCTGTGCCATCAGCCAGTTCTGTGCTTGGGAACAGAAGTGAATATCCGCAGTCCATGCATTGCTTTAATTTCTTCACTTAGCGCCTAGAAGAAGGAAGCACTATAAGCCGCTATGCAAAGGGAAGAATAACTTCCAACACGAACTGGCCACGTATCAAACAATATATACTGTCAGTCACCCCAAATACCAAATGAAGCAGCTTGTACTGTATTTACAACAGTATTTCTAGGCCACCTTTGAAAGCACAATCAAAATTAGGACATCTGGAACAATGCTGAAGAGTCAGAAGAGAGGCATGCAAGATGTCTGGGAGAGCAAATAATTGGAAATGCTTGAAACCTAAAGCTCCCATAGAATCCCCATAGAATTGCGGTCTAAACAATGTATCCAGCTGCTTACCTGATTGACCATTTGGTGCTGCTGAATTGTTCTCTTTTCCTTAAACTCTTCTGATTCTATATGTATTTCGTACATTGCTCCACAACCACCTTGACAAAATGGAGTTGATTTTATCACATTTAGAGATTAATGTACTTCAACATTTTCAGCTATTTAAACTTCATGTTTTTAATCTTACTAAGAGTTTTTTAAGTAGAGGTTATATGTTCCTATAATGGGAAATAAGTATTTCATAACTGTATATATAAAGCAGAAGCTCACAAGCAAAAAATCACAGTCATTTGTAAATTTTAACTGTACAATAAATCATTTAGGAAGCATCTTTTGAGTAATATGGGACAAGTTGAAGCTCATTTTAGGCATACTTCAGTCTAACATTTACTACAGATCAGTTGGATTCTCAACCAACACCATATTTATCCAGCAAATGCATTAAATAACCAAGGGTGCACACCCTAGTCTTACTCCCTCTTCAGTATCAAACTATTTGCCAATCAATTCCATTTGCTTTATTCATTTCCTCCACATTTGTACAAAACATTCCATAATCCAAGGAGAGCCAGTTTGGCAAACCACTTCCAAAATCTTGCCAAGAAAACTGCAGGGTCTTGTTCAGGCAGTCACCAGGAGTCAACACTGACTTGAAGGCACAAACAAACAAACAAAAGGGCAAACCACTTCTGAAAATCTTGCCAAGAAAACTGCCGGGACTTGTCCAGGCAGTCACCAGGAGTCAACACTGACTTGAAGGCACAAACAAACAAACAAATCAATCAATCAATCAAAGCCTTTACACTCGCTTTTGACTCCTGGCAACTACACAGGCAAGCCCCTGCAGTTTTCTTGGCAAGATTTTCAGAAGTGGTTTGCCCTTGCCTTCTTCTTCCTAGGGCTGGGAGAGAGTGATTAGCCCAGGGTGGCTTCATGCCTAAGGCAGGATTATAACTCAGTCTCCCTGCTCCGTCTAGCACCTTCACCACTAGCCAAAATTGGCTCTCAAAAATTGTCTTACCCTAGGCTACAAAGAAATGACAGTTCAGATTCCCAGCAAGGAGGACAATTTTAAATTTGTCTTCCCCAAACTGGTGTCATGCAGGTATGTTGAACTTGAATCCACACACTGGCTGAGAATTATGGAGGTTGAACTCCCCACACATCTGATGATGGTCTGAAGAAGGGCATCCTAAGTCATTGTCTGTTGGATTTATACTAGTATCTAAGGACAAAAGCCCTTACCTTCACTTCTGAAATGACAGAATGACCTAGGTCACAGATGCAGTTAGAACTTCACATCTGGATTCATAGATTGTGCTAAGCCATTGTTTCCCTTAAACCATAGTTTAATACATTCACTATTATGAATTAGGTGTGGTTTCTTATTGAATGCTGTGTGTGTGCGCACCTTTGAGTCAATCTGGACTCCTCACAATTGCCTGGACAAGTCCAAGCAATTTTTAGGCAGCATTTTCAGCAGTGGTTTGCCTGGTCTTCTTCCCAGGGCTGAGAGAGAAGGACTGGCCCGAGGTCACCCGGCTGGCTTCATGCCTAAGGCAGGACTAGAACTCACAGAATCCTGGTTTCTAGCCTGGTGCCTTTAACCACTACACTAAACTGGCTCTCTTTTCCTTTGTATAGAGGACCGATACTGCCATTGTCAGACACAGCCACAATCTTCATGCGTATATTAAACAACTTGCACGACCATTCCAAAAGTAAACCACGTATGCATATTTCATACTTCTCTAGCTACTGCAGTCGTGCTATTTTTCAACATCCTCAAAGCACCTGGGACTTCCATTTCATCAATATGGCTTGGACACTAAGATTTCTGACATTCAATTTCACTCTTAACATATCACTATCTTTCCCATACAGGTGACTATAATACTCTTTTCAACATTCCCTCTTTGTTTCCATACCAAATTATGCTACTATTTTCTACTTAATTCCATTCACTCTGCTGGAGGCTCATGGTTTTAGCCCTCCTCATCTACTTCCAAAACACTTTTTATTTCCATCAAAATTGTGCATTTTCTCCAGCTCTTTAAATCTTCAGTATTCCTTGTTCTCCTTAATTACATTCTTTGCAACAATCTTTTTCTCTCTAAACAGTCTCACCATTTTTTTCTCATCCACAGCTTCTTTCATTTCATTTATTCCACCAAGCATATTTTTTCATACTTTCCACTGGCATAATCCCACATACTTCTGAGACACTCACTTCACTATGACTTTATCATCGTAGTCATCGTTGATATCCAAAAGAAACAACTTCAACAGATACTTCTATTTCATTTGGTCTTTCGTTAATGGTGTTCTGGTTGGGACCAAGATTTTTGACCCATCTCTCCATCTTCTAGGAGGTCCATCCAAGTGGTTAAGTATAATTATAGAGCCACCACTATGTCACTTTTTCTGTCCACTGCAACATAATTCTTGTCACTCAAGCAGCTTCCACATATTTTTTTTTTATGTCTACTTTCCATTCATTCCATTGGGAGAGTGATCTATCTTCTAGTACTTTTTCACAGAGGATGTATGCTTTTCTTCCTGCATTCATTCTATTTTCATTTCTTTGTCCCACATTCAGAACATCTCATCACCTTGTATCCTTCACTAATTATCTCAATCCTTCATTAAAAACAATAAAAATCATGCTTTTAGATTTATAGTTATTATTCTGTTTATGTTTAAACTACATATTCAAAACAGATACTTTTCTAAAGAGAAATTCACCAAACAATCATCATTCTCATTCATGTGTGGGACTTTCAAAGGCCAAAACACTTTTTCTGTTGTCTTTCATCTTGTTCCCACTCATTCATTCATATCAGAACATTTTTCCTCCACACTGCAATCATTCAGAATGTTGCACTATTTTTCCCAAAATTCATCTCTGTTCTTCCATTATCATTTTTACTGGAGAGTAACATGCAATTACACCAACTCTTATTTTCATATGCATCTGACTCACAACAACATAGATACATCAATTCATACTTTCTAGTGTAGAGTATGTTTTAGTCCCTTCATTCATAATTAAAGCTATTTCTTCATTTCTCAACACCATCCACAGGATCAGACCATCTTCCTTCAGATTTATTATAGCCTACCCTTGCTCTTAAATTCATACATGCACCATATTTATTCTTTCTTTCATTTCAGTCATCAATTCATTCTCTGCCATTTACTCTTCTTCCAAGTGGCAATCTTCCATACAGCATGGGCATCACTAGGTCACCTAGAACTTGGCCTCCAGCCTTCCTCATGCCTTTAGTTAATTAAGGCTTTTAATAAAATGCTTTTTAGTAAGATAGAAAAGAATTAGACTGATTTACAAGCACATGCAGCAATTGTACGCAGCATTCCCTGCTACCTGCAAGGACAATGCCAATTTGAAGATTTTGCATATTATACCACATGCACAACCACATGATAGATTTACTCTAAGCATGCTCACACTATTCTATGTCAGCTAGGATCTCTATAAATCAATATACCATTGTTTGCATTCTACCAACTCTCAGTACAGATTATGTACTGTACTAACACAATTTCAGGATGTGGGCTTTTCACATGCTGCTTGACTAGCTTTGTCACTGGATCATTTTGCTAAAGCATTTCAACCATTTGGGAACTGTCACACGTCTAATGTAGATTTAACAGGCAGAAAAAAAGATGGATTCAATTTTAACCTAAGGGTTAAGACTACAATTGCAATGGACCACCAATTAATACCTTTCTCTAGGTCTGATATAACGGTAAGACGACCATTTTGAAAGGGAGAGAAGAGCTGTGGCAGCAGAGGAAAACAAGCAGACAAATCCTCCATTTCACGCCCACAGATCAATGACCGCCCCTTCCTTTACCTCAGAAAACCCTCAGAGCTCCACAGAGGCGCAGGTCGGCGGCGCCTCTCCTCACCTGAGATGTCGACGACCCTGATAGCCGCAGCCTGGGGAAACTTCTCCTGCAGGACTCGCGTCACGCGGACCTCCCCCTCGGTTTGGGAAGCGAAGGACCGCCCCCCCCGGCGCAGGAGAAAAGCGATCTGGTGGGAAACGGAAACGTTCTGTTAGCGCGTGAGGCCCAGCGAAGCCCGCCGGGCAGACACTCCTGCAGCTCCGCTCCGGGGTCCTGGAGGTGCGCGGGGAGGGAGGGGCATCGCCCCTTTATCCGTTCGGCCGCCCTCTGCCAGACACCCCCGGAGCTCCGCGGCTCCCTC